TACATACATACATACATACATCACATTTAGAGAGCCGCCCATCTCACACAAAGTGATTCTAGGCAGCATACAACAATTAAAATAACAAGTGAATAAAAACAGGCATTATAAAAAGATAAAAAGTGATTATTAGAATTAAAACATTATCACATATTTTAAAAAATAGATTTTAAAATATACAAACCCCATGGAGAGAGCAGAATATCAATTACAGTGGAGCCATCTAAGAATGGCTCTGGTTCCCAAAGACCCCCAGGCCTGAGTCTTGAAGACTTCCTAAACAACAGCAGGGAAGGGGCGAGCCTCACTTCAGGGGGGAGAATGTTCCACAAGGAGGGAGCCATGGCAGAAAAGGCCCGCCTCCTGGGACCCACCAAAAGCAAGTCCCTGGCTGATGGAATCCGTAGCATACCTTCCCTGCTGGATCTAATGGGATGGGCTGATGTGATCAGGGAGAGGCAGTACCTCAGATAAAAGATAATCTCTTTTAATTTATTTGGCTTACTTTTTTTTTTTTTTACTCCATTTGTGTACTCTGTAGAAATTTGCTTATTTCAACAGGTAACAGGGTGATAGTTATGGATGCCTAAGTACCAGCCTGTATTCATCTACTAATCAAATACAAAACCTACGTCTTCATGAGGTGTTGATTAGGCATTCCATACCAGGATGCAATGGAATGAGTTGCATTCAAAGAATCTCACAAATTACCCCAGTGAACATAAAACCAAAACCAAACCAAAGCAACATACCCCCCTGCAAAAACAAAACACTAACTACCCTTCATCATTACTACAGTTTTTTTCTTGACAGCATGTTTTATTTATTTCTGAATTTCTTACTGGGTGTCTTTGAGTCAGTTTTGATTCCTAGCAACTGCCTGGAGAAGACCCTATAGTTTTCTTGGCAGGATTTTCAGAAGGGGTTTGCCCTTGCCTTCTTCCCGGGGCTGAGAGAAAGTGACTGGCCCAAAGTCACCCAGCTGGTTTGTGGCTAAAGCAGGACCAGAATTCATGGTCTCCCAATTTCTAGCCTGGTGCTTTAACTACTGTATCAAACTGACTCTCTTAGTGTCATTAAATCCATGGACTTCAATTTTAAACTCAGTTCCAAGTAAATTTGTAATGCTTTAGCTTATCAAGGCTCTGCATAGATACACAGTTTTTTTCTGGGGGGAAAAATAAAGTAAAACTAAAATTACGGCAATTTTTTCAATACAACTCTACACATGAAATCTCAACTACTGTACTATCGGCTATCTTGGACTGGTATATAAAACTTTTCACATTCAAAAAATGCCCCATTTTGAACTCAACATTTTTTACTAAAGTGGAAACAGGTATTTCAAGCTCAAATGTTTTAAATTTGAAACATTTTGCATGCCTTATTGTCTTGTTATACCAGTTCACAAAATAAGACAAAAACTGGGTAAACTGGAGGAAAATAATGTAGAAAAGAATAGAAAGTACTTCTCCTTAAAGAATTTTCTAGCATATCTATATCCTTTTCATTTATATTTGCTAGTTATTTCCTCATAATCAGAAGTAATTACACAACACATTCCAATTAATCATATTAACTGTGCACAAGAAACTCACTGTAATGTTTTTCCTTTAGTTCATAAAACTGAATACAGCCATAATAATACAGCCTTTGGTGATAAAAAATATAAAGAATTGATATGAACTCAATAAAATTCAAAATAAAATTAACATTCTTTTCTACATAAGAGTATTAAAATACCCTAGCCACAATTTCAGACAAGCAAAAAAATTAATTCATTTTAACTGTATGAACACAGACCTTAAGATTAGTTTCTCCATCCAAACTTGCAGTAGTAACATAGCAACAGCCATGTTCTCTATCAGATGACAGAAGTACAAGATCAGCAGGGAAAGTTTCATCTTTGGCTACTCTCACAATATCTCCTACCTGAGAAGACAGAAGTATTGTATACAAAAACTGATTTACAAAATTACTGGATTAAAACATTCCAATGAAATGTTATTCAGTCTAATTCAAATCTTTGTAAAATTGAACAGATAGCTATGACTCTTTTGTTAAAACCACACAATTATGGAAGACAGACATTCATTTTACATTAATAAGACACATACCCGGATGTTCTTTGATCTTGTTTTTACAAGGCCACCACTGCGAACAACATAAACTGGAGCTCCATTCACTTCATTGTCTGCTTTGTGCCGTAACCAATCTTCATAACCCTGAAAAGGTCACAGGAAGTCATTGATATTTTACTACTACTTTACTACTACTTGGCTGCCATCTCAAACTTTATCAGACAACAAACATAGGGCTTAAAAATGGAAACCATATAGCTCATCTTTCCCCAACTTGGTGCCCTTGAGATGCTTTGGACTACAGTCTCAATGTTCCTTAATGGCCCATACTGATTGGAACTACAACTCCTATTAGCTCCAAATACTTGGAGGGGATCAGGTTGGGGAAGACAGAACCAACCCATAGAAGACAACCAGCCTCTGGCATGATATTCATGCCACTTTAAGTGAGGAAGAGCCTACAACCTGTGTGTCCTACTTCAAAACACATATAGTAGGTAGAGTGATAAATTCAAGCAAGGGTGCTAAAAGCAACTGTACTGCCTGATCAGGCTTATCTGTTATAGAAAGGTTTCCAAAATAGATAGAGGTAGTATGAGAAATCTTGTACACATACGTAAAGAAAAGTTATGAGAAATGAAAAAAAAATTGCAATTGCATGGTCATCCCTACTCCGCTGCGAGTCGAGCAGCATATAAATTTAATAACAACAACAACAGTTGAAGAAGGAAAAAGGGGATTGGAAGAGTATCTGAAGGACAGTGAAGAAGATGCATTGAAGCTACTATATCATGAAGGCTTACTGAATACCAAAGAAATCAAACTGGCCTATAAGAAAGACCAAATGAAAAATAGAAAAGAGATATGGCAAGGCAAAGTATTACACAGCCAGTACACACACACCCACACAAAACCAGCAGGCAAAACAGATAACAAGACCTGGCAATGGCTAAGAGCAGGAAAGCTGAAGAAAGAGACAGAGGGGCTAATTCTTC